GTGGCTGCATCTTCATGAGAATGTGGGCGAGGCCGAGATTGAGGACAGGACGGGGGAGGTCGAGCGCTTGCTAAGGGGGAATGAGGACGAGAAGGGCCTCGGTAGAGGGATTCGCGTGGAGAGGGTCGAAAAGGTGAAGACGTATGCGCCGGGGGTGTGGCACTGCGTGTTTGATATCGCTGTTACAGGAAACTAATGCACAATATACAAATACAAAATCGGCATACAACCATCGTGTCCATATCCACCACCGTCCGTCCCAAATCATCAGTATCAGCATCATCATCATAACTCCAGTCCTTATATACAGACACAGCCACATCCATCGTCAATTCCAAAGAGAAGCAGAAAAGGAAGAAAGAAAGAAAGAGAGCAACCGACGCGACCCTCTCCACTCCTCTCCTCAGCTATACTGGATCGAATCATTGCCTCCTAAACTTTGCCGGAATATTCTCCTCAATAACCGCCATCTTGTCCATCCTCGCCTGCTCCTCCTCCAGCCTCTCCATCTCCTCGTGGTGCTTGAAGTGCTCAATATCCTCCGGATGCGTCAAGTCCTCCAACTTTGTATTCTCATCATGATACTTCTCCCAATGGTGAATCTCGTACTCGTACTCATCGTCGCCATGATGGCCCGGCCCAGTTCCCAAGTCCGGCAAGGTGCCGCCGTGCCCAATAAAGTCTGTAAACTCGTCATGCGTGACCACGCCGTCGTGGTCCTTGTCCAGCAAACCCATCAGGTGCTGCAGCACCTCCAGCCGCCGGTCCTGCGACATGTCCTTGTTGGAGGCGTCCATGAGGCCGTACGTTCGCATGATTTCCTCACCGTGCCACTCGCCGTCGGAGTTGTAGTCGTGCAGCGCGAAGAAGGCGCCTGCATCCCAGGAATCAATGTGGTGTTCCTCTGTTATTCTGGTTAGTCCAAAGAGTTGCTTTTTTTTGGGTGTTTTTTTTTTCTTTGGGGCGTGGTATTCCTCATTTGCCCATTTTCATGATAAATTTCCTCAAAGGGCCTGGAAAGGTGTTCTGCGGGCTAAGACACTTACCTGCCATATGCTTCTCCATCCATGTGGCATCGTCGCTGACAATGGGTTTCTGGCTGTGGCTGCCGTGCGCGGCGACGAGCCCTGACAGGGCGAACGGCAGTAATAAACTCGACCGCATGATCAAGCGCTCTTCGGAGAGTAGCAATTGATGTATTTTAGTGGCGCAATTGGTGTGTCGTCAGGCCTTGGGCTTCGAAAAATGCCAGTCGTAGATGCAAGTGGTACTCCGTAATAATTGATGGAAGAAAGGCCAGGCCTGGTCCTGCCGTCGTCAACCGGCCACCTATGGTTTGGGGTTAGCGGCTGTTCGAGGTGCCAAGTACTCCGTAGATATCGCTGTTAAGCACTAGTTAGTTGGACCCGGCCAGATGTTAAACTTAGTTACTTACTGGGGACACCACCGGTACTCCGTAGGTCTTAGGGTGCGCCGCGCCGGGCAAAGATCAACGGCTGCAAGGGACAACTTGTGTACGGAGTATGGAAGCTTGGTTAGTTAGCTACCCGTAAGCTTAAACCGTCGGCGGCTGTCACACCACTCCTACAACACGAATTGCCAGTCACGAGTTTCAAAATTCCCACATATATTCACTTTATTTCTCTGCTTCAAAACATACTCTAGAATGTCTGTTGGTATTGAAACATAATACGGGCCATGTCCCAACGTGCCTAATGGTGGTTATCAATCACCGCCAGCATGGTGTATCAAGTATCCGGCTCCCCTCCCTCCCCCAATAAACGCCAATTTACCCATGCCATCTCAAAATCGAGGAAGGATGGGGCCCACCATTCGCCAAGCCGGATCAGAAAATATAAGCCATCAAACGCCTCATTCATTGCCTTGAACCTTGCCCGCGGAGCGCTTCCAGATAACTACATTATTGATGGCCCTGGCCTTGTTTGACCCCGTTCGGGATCTACCCGGCTCGGCATACTTCGTTAATTCGTTACAAACGTTGGCAACGCCACGTTTCCCCTTCAACCCGTATGTGAACATCCCTTTTGGTGGCGGCCAAACGGCGTGGGAAGCGCTGGCGAAGGTAAGACGTTGCGCCTTGTGTCTAAGCACGGCAAGACTTGTTCAATCAATTGCAACCCTGGATCCAGCCCAGAACGCCTCAATCAATAAATGGCTTCTTTTGACCTCCAACGTAACATAGCCCCAGTGCCCGCAGCGAATCCCTATCATTGGCCAAAATGATCGTGCGGGCGGGTAGCATTGGATTGTTGGGGTCGACGTGAGAAGCATCTTTGGCGGCTTGTTCGATGGCATCCATTTCTTCCTTGCAGGCTTGCTGATCAAGGGGACATATGACAATCGGTTGCCTCAAAGTGACGTCGCGAGCGCCACTGAGCTGAACCTGTTGCCTCAATCCGTTAGCGCTTTTTTTAATTTTCCAACACCTGTCAAGGGCATCACAAGAATAAAAGTACCTTGATATTGAGATAAAACTCAATTTTATAGAGCGACGATGTAGTTGTAAAGGACGTAACTTCGTAAAGTGGAAACGCCGGCTTGCCTCTCCTGACAACGCCATCCGCATCCCTCAAGTCTTTGGAAGGGAATACGAGACCAATGTTTGTGGCGTATCCAGCTTCCGGGATCTTCATCTTGACCACCTGCACCTGCTTCGACAACTTGTTGATCTTCTTTACCGGCTCGTCTCCCTCGGGATTATAAGTGACTTCTTCTTCGATGGTGAGGTTGATCTTTTCTATACTGACTCTTTTCGCTTTACTCAGCCAGTCCGGGTTCGGGGATAATTTAATGTAGACTGTTATAGGGTCTCCGGGTCCATAACTCCACCGTGGGAGATTGATGCCCAAGTGGACCACGTTATCCGACGTGACCAGCTTTGTCTCTGGCTTATTGTACATTCCAAATGTAGACAGGGTGTCATACCTCTGCAGGGGGATTGGAAAGCTAAATTTGTATTGACTGCTGTGGCCTTGTTGCACTGTGACGACAAGCTCATAGAAAGTCTCAGCCGTTCTGCTAGGCAGCTGCAACGACGCCGGCGGTATTCTTCGATTCGTTTCCTCTCCTCCACGTCCGAAAGGGATGAACAGCACAAACGGCAGATCCATGGCGATGACGCTCTCGGCCTCCTTCCCTGTCGCACAACGGAAGAGTAAGACTTCCTTGCCGACGACATCGGTCGCCTCCTTTCGGGGTGTCCCGAGATGGCGCTTTGTCAAGCTGTCGGCGTCGGGATGGATCGTCTCTCGTCTTTGTAAACATATCCGCACCAGCGACACCGGAACAGGCATGGAGAAGCCCTGTCCGGGCCGAATTTCGACTTTCCCCTCAATTCGTGGCTGATGACATACCGCAGTCAGCAACTTGAATACAGTCTTCAGCCGAGCCGGGCAAAGCACGGCTTTTTTCAAAGCAAAACGTCCGAAAACGTCCGGCATCCTGCACCATACAGTTGCAACAAAGCCAGACAAAAAGGAACAGGGGTCCAAGACATACCAGAGTCGCGGAGATGCCGGGATAGCCCACGAGAAAGCTGCTGTTGGGAGGGCCAGACACCCTCACGCTCGCTGGCCCCGAGGCCATGATGCCGCTATTGGTCCCGCCAGCGCAAAGGAGCTGGCGGCAGCGGCGGCGGCAAACAGAGGCGGCGACGGTAACTGAAGAGGAGGATCGCGACTGTCAACAGCAGCCGAAGTCGTCATGAAGAACAAAGCGTTGGACGTTGCGGACGGGTCAGCCTTATTAACGACGCCGGTCGTCGTGGACTGGCGGCTCTGCGTCGCGGTGCTGGGGGTGGGGTACGGATAAGTAAGTAAATAGTGGAGAGCTTGGGTGAGCAGCGGGATAAAGTAGGCCTGGGGAGCCGGGGGAGTCGAGTCTGGGCGTCGTGCGGTTCATTGGTCGGTGAGCCCAATCGGCCGCCACGAGATGCGCAAGTTTGCAGTTCGCTCCGTGCGAATGTCATCTACGGAGTAGAGGTGAACGGAAACAACAAAGACACAACAAGGTTGGTCTCGTCGAAATTGTATGCAATAACCGCAGGCGATACATGCACCCAAGCGAGATTACTGAGACGGACTGTATTAATTGATGTAAGCCGCCTCCCCCAGGCTACTCCCTACGGAGTACAACTCAGGAGGCGACTGGGCATACTGGCGCTAGGCTGACTTGAATGGTTTACCCACAGAGTTGGGACGACGTCAACAATGCAAATAAGCACGCACCACCTTGCCCAGAGAGCTCAAGTGGGCTGACTGCTTACGCAATGCAACGTCCTCCAAGAGGTAACTTGCAATTCGCATGCGCTCCGCCACTTGACACAAGAGATTAATGTTATTGGTGTGGTGATCTTGTGCATACTGCACAGCGTCTTCAGGGCACGGCGCATGAAGTCGAATTTAGGATGAGACGTGGGTGCCCAGCTGAAGTCCTTCTGGTCACGCTACCCTGCATGAGCAGATCGACAAACGAGTCGTGCCTGGTTTGCTCTCATCTAACTAATTTCTCGCCTGTAAGGTTGCCCAACACGGGTCGGAAATCAATCAAAATTTAGCTTTCTCGTTATCTTGACCGAGGCGCAATTACAACGATCTTAATCTTCGTCGGCTTGCATGGAGTACTCCGTAGATTGCCCCAATTGCATTGCCATGGGAGCTCGCGTGACCAAGAGGCCATCAGAAATGCATCGTGAAATAGTAGTATAGACTATAGACTGTCCCGCCGTTGTTGTCGCCTCTTAGTACTTAAAGTGATTGTGACACATTTAACCATAACGAATTCGCGTTGATAGGTGGTAAAAGCCAAGAGCCGTTTCCACATGTGACAAGCGCAAAATCCATAATCAGGGAACCGCTAAGGAGGGAAAAAAAAAAAAGAAAAAAGAAAAAAGAAAAAGAGGGAAGCGAATCGCAGCTACACGGCAAACGAATGAAACGATAACCGGCCGCCTGGGAGCGCTGAACAAAAAGAAAACATTTTGCGAGCCGTAGGGATCGAACCTACGCGGGCGATGCCCATTGCGGTTCAAGCGTATACCCATTTAATGGACGTAACCTAAACACAACGCCTTAACCACTCGGCCAGACTCGCATACGTCAGGTGACTGTTTTCTGAACTAAACTCTTATAGATTCTTAAACGAGTCGACATTATTTGCTACCTCCGCTACGTACCCACTGCTCAATTACTCCGTAGTTAAGTCGCAGCTGCGGATTGCACGGCGAGACGTTGACATATTTTCAAAATTTGTTGTTTAATTCGGCACGGTGCACACAAACAGCTATGTTCAGTTGATCTTGCGCATATCCATCATTTCATTATATTTTGGGTTCATTCTTTCAAGACAAGTCGAAGAAGTTTTTTCATTTTGGCAAAACCGAGGCAGGAACCTATGGGTGAAATCTCAAACTGAAATCTCAGCCGCAATCTGACCATACATCAAAATTCAACCTTTCTACCGCTGGATACGGCCTGGAAATCTCGCTCTTTCAGGTGTTTCCTCAGCGCTCTATCTTGGAAATCATCATCTTCACACCCTGTCTCCATTAAGGAACAGCCGGCACCATGCCGTTTGACGACGATGACAATCCCACCGCCGAACCAACCACCACACAAGCCAACCAAGACGATGGCCACCCAACCGCGGAAGAAAATTTAGAGGATGGCGAGGACGGCGTTCCAGACTACAAACTCTTCTCCTCCATGTTCAACAAAAAAAACATCTCTAGCAAAGTCATCCGAAAAGGCGAAAAGGACTTTGAATCCCACGGGACGCAAGCCCAGGACAACACACTCGAAGCCAGTCGGCAAGCACTGGAAGACGTCCTCCGGTACACCAGAATCCATCGATCAGAGTCATGGATACGGGCATGGTACTTTCCCGATTGGTGGGTCGCGCATTCAGTCTCATTGGCAGCCAATCCGGATGATGCGCTGCTACACGATCGTGTCGTGGTCATGGAACATGAGCGTGGGAGCTGGATGCGGGATATTGGACGGGCAGTTTCGGGAAGCAAAGACCAGTTTGGCGTTGGCAGACTATGGCTTCTACCTGAGGAGGCTTTGTATCTGATTGAGCGTGGGACCGTGGACATATGGTGGCCCGATAAGCCGTTTGAGGAGCTACTACCAAAAGCTACGGACGGGGCGGTGTCTACGAAGAATTCATTCGGGCCGGACGACTATGATGTTGGATTGCCACTAAGTTTGGAAGCGGCTTATACTTTTCTGATAGGCTTCGAAGGGGAGCGCGGCAAGACGACGTTGCCCAAGTTCCAGGTGTACTCGTATCTGAAAAGAGCCGGGTTTCACGTCATGCGCGCACCTACATCGAAGAGCAGCTCCGCGTCCACCAAAGATGACGAAAGCTCTTCAGCATCGCCGTCCAAATCACTGTGGCAGTGGCTCTTCTCTTTCATCTCCCGAGAACAGCAACTTCCGCGATATAAACCATATGGCCCCATTGTATCACCAGGGATATATCGAGCGTACCGACCTATATACCAACAACTGGCGCTGCTCCCCCGACATAAACCGACAGCTGCTCCGTCATTGCACCCGGTCCAAGAACCTTTCCGAGTACACTATCATGTCTGGAAATCTCGCGGAGGCGCCTTCTCCAAGAAAAAACCCCCTCCGCCGGATTTCCGCATCGCGGTTGCGGACACTGCGGATTCGGAAACGCCTACCCTAGAGCAGATTGAAGCTCTGCTGGAAACGACTCCGCTTGATCCACCTAATGCGGCTTGGCAGGGTCCGGGGAAGTTGTATCAACGGTTGAATCATGGCCACAGAAATGTGCTTGTAGCAGTGGTGGACAGCGGCCTGGTGAATTTCATGAGGTTTGGTGAGGGGGCATTTGGTGAAGAACAACTCTTCGAGAGATATGATAGCACGTCGAGAGGCGGAAAGAAGGGCGGTCGTGGGGGAGGACGCGGACGAGGTAGAGGGCGCGGCAGGGGCAGAGGCAGAGGCGGTCAAAATTAAGTTAGCGAGGACGCATTTGATAATGTAATGTATTCCGTACGTATTCTATACCCCGTTAGCGTACTCCGTACTCCGTAGAGTAATGGTCAATGGCGTGCATTATTACCATCGTCATTAACTCATATGGGATACTAGAGCAACTACTAAGGCTTTGGATTAACTATTAGGCTTTCACAAAGTCCAAATCCAATCAAAAAGGATATGGGTTTCGCCGATGCATTAACACCGACTAAAAAGTTCGGGTTACAGACATGGCTTGGCACCTTTTTGTTGGTTCTCCTGACAGTTTGCTGTCTCATCTATCGTCCAGCGGCCAATCAAGTAATGCCCTTTTAAGGAGGTTGCCAGACGTTGGGTTTCGCCTGCGACTACACCGTCAGCAGGGATTCCTTCCAACGCAGCCAGCCACCCTTTCTTGTCTTTGTTGATCGTGATTCTTGTTTGAGCACTCGATTTGCAAGTCGGCCATCACCGGTGTGCTACTAGACAATGAAATATCGCGTGGTCGCCCCATTGTGGAGAGCGTTTTATTCTTCGGAAGTTTCTTAGGATCCTTTACATCAGGGTAGCGCTCCATCCATGGGACTTTTGTGGCGACTCTTTGTTGGCCATGTCGTAGATCGGACAAGACAAATTTGATCGGACGACTCGATTTGGCTGCTTCCGGAACTCGACCGAAATTGGTCACCTAACTAACTAATTGCTATTATCTGAAAAAGACGTCAGATAACGCATAACCGAGTGGTGGATAATAGTATAGAGCGACCATGTTACCGGCCCTGTGGACCCGTCAACCAGCTAACATACCCTGTCATTAACTGTCAGACTACTGTTATATGGTTCATAAACCCGCTTGCCATTCATGGTCAGGGAGCCATGCGATTACGAGAAGGTCATAACCAGCCATTCTGTATTGGGTGTGCCTGTCAAACGCCTTGAAAGTCGAGGGAACATGTCAGGTCTATGGGTTCTCTCGCACTCTCTCTGCATAATCGTTATAAAGCTACATCGGGCTCTCGTTACTGTTGATTTCGCGTTTCGGACTTTGGCGTCCGGTTTTGTCAGGTGGAGCTCAAGTTGATAGGCAATGGCGCCCGCAACAGTCTGTCAAGACTTAGGAGTACAATCATATTTTTTGGTTATCTTAGCCCTGCTAGAATCACTATACGGCGTAACATGTAGCCCGGCAAAATTGTTTGCTGTGACGTTGTGACTATTATTTCACTACGCTCGTGTTAGCTGATCCTCTTGTCAATCATTACTTCTCGAGGCAGTTCTCTATGTGGATCAACTATCGGCTAACACCTCACGAGGTATGGCATGGGCGTGATGCGACGATAGTGTCAAGGAGGACCAGGGAGATCGGAAAAGATTTCTCCGTCAAAACATGGCAACACCGATCTCCCTACTCTGTATGATCGGGTCGTGGTTCGGGAGAGCACATTGAAACCATTACGTGTGCTATTGGCGCTGAGATCGGGGGCAAGTTTTGTATTTTTTCGGGCATCTGCTCCTATTACCTAAGTCAGGAAAAATTGGCTGGAGGCCCATTGCCAGGATCAGTCGGTACTGTACGAAGACTCAGCGCATTGCTGTGTGTCAGTACTTAAATGCCGACCGCTAGCACGTTCCGCGCAGTTACTGTATTCCTTTTTCGCACTCGTGTCTTAGAAATATGAGCCATGGCTGAAGCACCTATTGAAGCAACACCTGTGAGGTGAGAGAACACAACCAATGATGGCTGTGCCGTAGGCAGTAGGTGGCGTGAGTGGCGGAATGTCTCTTGTAGTAATTGTAAGACACAATTTGTCTTCGGCATTTCTAAGCTTTCACGTATCGGCAACTGATAATTGGTGGCCTTCGTGGCAGGGTTGGATTTGTTACGACGTATACTCCGTACTCCGAGCAACGTGCGAGCTTCCCCAATTTAGTCAACCAAACTAGCTTCCGCCACGCCTACACGAGTGTGCCAGTAAGATCAACCCTTGTGCCGAGTACCAAACCCGTGCCGTACAGTATAATGGCGTTCGATATTCCGCCGCGTTGATCAAGGGTGTCGAGCCCCGGCAAACGAGTGACGCGACAACAATTGCACGCAAAGAACTCCGTAGACGCTTGTGACAGTGCATATTTGGCGAGGTTTCCATACCATGTGCGGGCGGCCCCGTGTAGAGCTGGCAACGACGACTCCACAGAGGCATAACCATGTTCTGTTGTAGTGTAACTTGTTCAGGGGATCTGCCTCTCCCAACTTGGCGAACCTTTATTGAAGCTGCCTGTCCCGGCAAGATCAGCAGGTCGTCTTAAGTCCAAATCGTTTGTCGTGAATGCAGAAGAGGGTCTGTTGTTGACTCGCAATTGCCTCGGGACGGAGCTCCTACAACGATGACGGCATAAACCAGACTGACTATCGTAGCTACCCAGGTGATCGGCAAATGAAAATAAAGTGGTTGGCCAACAACATGATGGCACAAGGACAGTCTCCCCCGACGCACATGTTCCAATGTTTCTCCTCTGCTGGCTAATTAATGCTTGCTGATGCCAATGCACATGAGACCACTGGGGGAAGCAGTCTCTGGCACCGTTCTTGCAATAGTTAGTTGTGGCAGCAAGTGGGGCGAGATCTGGCTGCCCATTCAGGTCGACAACCCCGCGAGCCAATGGGAGCCAACCTCTTCCGGATTGCACGAGCAAAGAGGCAGGAGCATCTACCGAGCAGTAACTCCATAGAATGATGGTTGTCATCGAAGGGAACATTGGGGTAAAACTTTACTCCGTACTCCGTAATCGCAACGAAACTTGAACTTTTTCAACGTAACAAGAAGCCGAAATGAAGCTGTGGGCAGCACAACCCAGTTCTGGTAATCTTACTGCTGTTACAACTTTGTACCAGGAAATGTTGGGCTTGGTACGGAGTACTCCGTGCAAGCTCCGGCATGCGATGGCACGTAGCTACTTCCGCAACCTTTGTCCAACCAGACGTCCTATCCATTCAATCAGCACCATGCACGGTGTTTAACTTTCGCACATCCGGCAGCCTGAAATAAAGGCTCATTCACGTACAAACCAGGGTATACCGTGTAGGAATAACATTGACCCAGTCAT